AGAAGAAACCATCCTGAGCGAGGTAACCCAGTCACAGAAAGATAAACATGGTATGTATTTACTCATATATGAATTTTAGACATAGAGCAAAGGATTACCAGCCTACAATCCTCTTTGCCAAAGAAACTAGGAAACAAAAAGGAATCTAAGCGAAAAATGCATGAACCCCAGGAATGGAAAGTGGCAGGAACTCCTGAGCTAATTGGGAGCATGAGTAGGGAGAGGGAGATGTCAGAATGAGAGGAGAAGAGGAGAGGAGAGGAGGAAATGGAGGAGCAGAAATGTTGAGTTGGGGGAAGAATAGAAGAGAGCAGGATGAGAGATACCATATCACAGGGAGCCATTATAGGTCCAAGGAGAGATCTGGTACTGGGGAGATTTCCAGAGACCTATAAGAGTCCTTCCCCTATAATGCTACTGATGACTTGTTTTTATGCCATCCTAGAGCCCTCATCCAGTGGCTGATGGAAGCAGAGGTAAACACCCACAGATATACACTGAACTGAATTCTGGAACTTAGTTGCAGAGAGGGAGGAATGAAGATCAAAGGGGTCGGGACCAGGCTGGTGAAACCCACAGAAACAGCTGGCCTGTACAAGGGGGAGCACATGGACCTCAGACTGCTGTCTGGGAGGCCAGTACAGGCTGATCCAGACACCTGAACACAGATGTCAATTAGGAGGCTCTGCACTCTAGGGGGCCCCTGGTAGTGGATTAGTATTTTTCCCTGGTGTAAGAAGGGACTTTGAGAGCCCATCCCACATGAAGGGATGCACTCTTGGCCTGGACACATGGGGGAGGGCCTAGGTCTGGCCCGGGATGATATGGTGGACTTTGGGGTGGTAACAACACATACCTTTAATCCCAAGTACTTGGGAAGCAGAGGCAGGTGAATCTCTGTGAGTTCCAAGCCAGCCTGGTCTACAGAGTTCCAGGACAGCCAGAACTACATAGAGAAATCCTGTCTTGAAAAACAAACAAACAAAATACCTAGTAAGGTAGTTCAGAATCTTGAAGTCAGGTTTGACCAGCTCATCCATAATACAATGGCCTCCTTCAGCAACCAGTGAGATGTGTGTTAGTTCTCTCCCCTTGGATGTAAGGCACTAAAAGACAAAATAGTCAGGCTGTTGAACTGCAGGAGTTATTGCTTCCCCTTAATATGTACACTGTATCAATTACCACCTTCCCTCACCACCACCTGCAATGTTTGCTTACTAAAGTATCCAGTATAAATTAGACTAAAGCTGGGGTATTTGCTGAACATTACGTTTAATGGCAGCAATGCAATACAATTGCTCTGGAAAAAAAATTTTTTCCCACCCCCCTACCCCCGCTTGTGCCTTCGGGCTTGGGCCAGACACGCCCAGGCAGGGAGGACCTCCCTGCGCACCCAATCTGCTAGCACCCCACTCTTCCATTCCGCCGAACGACTGAGGAACTAGGAACTAGTGAGGAGACTACCAGGAGCGTCAAGATCATCCAGAGTTGTGGACATTGAATTCCTGGCCCCCACACACCACTGGGTCACAAGAGGAGATAGAGAGACCTCACCTGCACCCACTAAAAGAAGATATGGGGAGAAGACAGAATAAGATTTCACTCAACAACAGAAAGACCAATATGACACCACCAGAATCTAGGGACTCCACTCCAGCAAGATCTGAAAAGCCCAACACAGAGCATGAAGATGAGATGGACCTCAAAAATTATCTCAGCAAGTTGATAGAGACCTTTAAAGAGGAAACAAGAAAATCCCTTAAAGAAATAGAAGAAAAAGCAAACAAAAAATTAAACGAATTGGAGGAAAAGACAAACCAAAAAATTCAAGAAATAAA